AGTCAACAATACATAGGCACCCACAACTAACAACAAACAAAAGAGCACCGAAATTTCAACATCAATACATGACCATGAAATAAATAACCATAATCATGAACTGGACAATTCCTTTACTTCATACAACCAGTGACACATAATATACCAAGATAATAACAAACCCAATCTCACAGCACTAACGATGAACAGTGAGACTGTCCACGGCCTGATTGTGTTGAACAGGGAGACTGATTTCGTCGGTGATTGAGACACTAAAGGTTTGGCAGAGCTTCGGACATTCATATTTATTTTTGTTTATTTTAATATCTACTCATCATTAACATATAATTATGTTAAAGTGTAAGATTAACGGGTTTTTTTTTTTTTTTTTTTTTTTTTTTTTTTTTTTTTTTTTTCAAATTTTAAAAAATGTGATTGTAAAAAAAAAAAAAAAACAACACCACAAAATAACACCAACAACTTTTCCCAATCTTGTCATTTTATTCATATCAGGGAATCAACCCCGATCACACTTTTACATCACAAAAAAAAAAAAAAAAAAAAAAAAAAAAAAAAAAAAAAAAAAAAAAAAAAAAAAAAAAAAAAAAAAAAAAAAAAAAAAAAAAAAAAAAAAATCCGACTCGTCAAACACATCGGTCGGCTGACAATGAGCTGTCTGTAATTGGCTGTTAGCATTGTCACCGTCTTGTGCACGTTGTACTTTAATTAATACATCAATGCATTGCAATTGAAAAGACCGTGCAAGACACACCATGTTTGCCACATCAACATCGTTCTGCAATATGAAATTGTTCTAACCGGGCATCTTGAAGTAGAAACATGCATCGGCAGGTGTGAGCCCATCAAACTTTTCACACACACCACTGACCATGTCGTCAAATCGAAACGAAACTTACAGATTAATAGCAACATTCACATTGCCGTAACAACATATTAGCATAATTCCATTGTCCATCCTCCTGTGAATGTGAACATATGATTCATGAGAGAGGGGGGAGGGAAGGAAAAAAAAAATTTAAAAACACTACAAAACGGGGCAACACACATACTTAAAAATATGATTCCCCCACCTACAGTAAAACACATGTCCGTACGTTAACCACACAGAGCACATCCCATAAGGAAAACGTGGCACTTTAGAACTTGGTTTAACACCAAGGAAAAGAATAACACCACTAGCACACCACACACCATTAAAAACGACGCCTGTAAAACGCATGTCCCTCTATTCCCTAGACAGAGCGAAGTCCCACACACACCCAACATATCAGCCACATTGGAGAACCATGATCGGCCAACATACAGAAACCACCCACATACATGAAACATGAAAAAAACACAGAACAAAATGTAAATGCCTACAATCCATATCAAAGGTAAACAACCCAAGGAAAAGTAAGCATACCAGGCAGAGAATAGTGTACACACGGCAGATTTCCGAATCTCTGAGGGTGTGTCACACAGCCGTCGGCAAGGAAGACGCATATTCAAATTCGAAAACCCTACCTCACAATGACTGAAATGTATTTGAATGTATCATCAAAATTAGCTAAACCGGAATGAGCAACGTTTCCAAAAAAAGAACTGACCCCGCAAAACAGTACCACATTAACCCAAGGGCACGCTCGTCCACACAGTGATACCAAAAATAGAAAAAACAAAAACAAAAAGGACCAAATCAACCCACCAACAGGACTAACGAGTATAATAGAACAAAAGTGGGACTATTTGGCATAACAGTTTGTGAAGTAGGATTTATTGGTAAATAATTCCTTTTTTAACTTTCTGTACCTATCTTTATAAAAATTAAAATACAACTAAAATAGCTAATTATGCAAATCTTTGGGCGTAAAGGCCTCGTTTGTTTTAAGAGATAGAGATGGGAATGAGATTGAGGGATTTGGGGGTGCCTGCTGTACAGGGTGCACAACAGCTACTGTTGTGTAGTCAAATGGGCCCATTTCGATAATCCGAATCGTTCACATTTTAAAATACATCAAGTAGAACATACTAGCAAAAAAATAAGTTAATCAGATATCGTTTAGTCTTTCATTTACTCACATTTGTATTCATTTTAATACTTTAAATCATAATTGTTATTTATTTTTGTAGGTACAAATGTGAGTGAATGAATGAATAAACGATATCCGATTAACTTGATTTTTTTACAAATTTGTATTAATTGATGTATTCTAATGTGAACAGTTCGAATTATCGAAATGGGCCCATTTGGCTGCACAATAGTGGCTGTTGTGCACCCCGCACAACAGCCACCCCAAATCCGAGATTGAGATGGAGGTGAGAGCCACTATATATTGTGTTTGTTTTGGGAGATAGAAAGGAGATTCATAATCCCATAGGATTAGGATGGGCTTTAGTGTTGGGATTGAGATGGAGGAGGTGAAGGTGATATTAGGAAATTAGTCCCCCGACTTAGGTTTTTTTATTTATTTTATTTTTTTAATGTTGGGCATTTTTTTTAACATTAATGTTTAATGTTTTTGTATTTTTTGTTAAGTAAAAATCATAATTTTATTTGTTTTAATATTTTATATTTTTTTATAGGGTAATAATTTAACAATCTATAACAATTATCTTCAAAATAAATATAATTTTACTTAATTCCTTCATTATTAATTTATTCATTAATAATTTTTTTACAATTAATTTATTCATTATCAATCTTTTTTATTTTCTCTTTAAAAACAAACGAAGCCTCAGGGACAAGTAGAGAGATTCCAAAAGACAATCCTCACTACCTTTAAAAACAATCCTCACTAACAATCCTCTGACATAATATCTATGTGAAAAATACAAAACAAAAGCACACACATTTCCATGTGAGCAAACCAACAACAATAACCCTGGTCCATGTCGTTGCTTTTCTTTTTGAAAAGTGCTTCGAGATTTCAAAAGAAATTTATTAAATTTTTTATTAAGTATTTTATATAGACGGAGATAAGTAGGAATGGCAACGGGGCGGGGCGGGGCCGGGGATCACCCTCCCCGTCCCCGATCCCCGATGGTGGAAACTCCCCCCGTCCCCGGTCCCGACCCCGACGGGGAGCTCATCACTACCCCCGGCCCCGCCCCTTAACGGGGATCGGGTTTCCCCGAACCCGAAAAGTCCCCGACCAAAAGAAAAAAAAAAATCAGATTCGACATCCCATTCAACATCAGATTCAAATCAGTTCCAAAAAAAATGTCATAAATAAGATTCAACATCATATTCAATATCAGATTCAACATCATAAATAAATATAAAAAAAAATCGAAAGAGAAGATCGAATGAGCTCAAATGTCATAAAAAAAAAAAAATCAGATTCAACATCATATTCAATATCAGATTCAAAGTCATAAATAAATATAAAAAAACATCATATAGAAAGAGAAGATCTGAATCTAATGCTCAAATATAATATATATATATAACAAATCGAAAGAGAGAGAGAATATTCCAGATCTGTGAAGCTTGGTCGGTGATGGTGGCGGATCGGCGAAGCTTGGTCGGTGATGGTGGCGGTGATTCGGCAAGCTTGGGAGGATGGAGATCGGCGGTGGGAGAGACGTTGGAGTTGTGGGAGGATGGAGTTCGGTGGTGGGAGAAGGGAGATCGGCGGTGGGAGATTGAGATCGGCGGTGGGAGATTGAGAGAGGGAGACCGAGAGAGATGAGGGCGTTGATGATGATGAGTGATGAGTGTGAGATTGAGATCTGCGTTGATGATGAGAGATGAGGTCCTAAATATTATAAATATTATAATATAAATATTATAAACACAGTGAGGTCCTAAATATTATAAATATAATATAACTATTATGCTCAAATATTATATATATATATATAAGGGGTATAAAAGTAATTTCATTTCGGGGAAATTCGGGGACGGGACCGGGGACGGGGACGGGGACGGGGATCGGGCCGGGCCGGGGATTAAACACTGATCACCGTTCCCGGCCCGTGACAGATCGGGGATTGATTTTCAAATACCGTCCCCTCCCCGTCGGGGGTATTTTTCGGGGAAAAACCGCTTAAATCGGGGTCGGGATTGGGGATCCCCGTCGGGTCGGTTTCAAATTGCCATCCCTAAAGTGAATATGTCTGGATTTTATGCTTTTTCAAAAAAATAAGATGTTATTATTAGGTTTGGCATCTCTTAAAAAAGTCAAAAAAATATTATTTTATTTAATTCACATCATATTTCTACCACATCATTTCAAATTCAACTCATATTTCATAAAAAGTCAAAACATGTACTTATTTAGAACATCTCAAACAACCCTTATAGCTTTAAAAATTACAAATATTTATTTGTTATAATTTTTGGGATAATAGAATTAACAAAAAAAGTAAAATTTCTAACTACTCTTCTATACAATAATAAAATTATATAAATTATTAATTGAAATAAATTTTTAATAATATTAGAAAATGTTAATTGATTTAATAATTTATTAATTAAATATGTAATTTGTTATATAATTAGAAATTTGAAGAGATATGATGTAATTTCTAAAACTACAATAAGATATTCGTATTTTAATCAAATCTCAAAAACATATTTATAATTTACCCTTAATCTTTTTAAATTTTAATAATATTTAATATTATAAATATTTACGAATTTGACTTTGTTTTCTTAATTTTTCAATAAGCTTTTTAACTTATACAAATCAAAATCGTCAATTTTTCATTCTAACTAAAAATTATTTTCTTCTTTTAGTAGTCGAGTAATATATGTTTGTAAAATATTACGTTGATCAGATATCAATCACATCTCTCTTTCTCTCTCTCACATACACACACTTATACTTCCTCTTCAAACTCTAATGATGTGTTTGGTTGGGAGATTTGAAAAGGGATTTGGAAAGGCAAAGGAAAAAGGTAGGGAAAATGTGAATAAAAATACTTATATTTCACCTAATTTCATACATTTTTTCCCTTTATATTTCCAAATTCCCCAACCAAACACAGCGTAAACTCTCTTTCTACAGGAAAAACTCCTGTCGGCTTCCTCCTCTACATACTACATAGATGCTACCGCCATCGCCACTCCTCAGCCGCTGTCATCCCTCTCTCTTTCTCTCTCTCTGGGATGCAGATCTAAGCGATTTTGATATGTCGGAGATCACGGTGATGGTCCCTCATCGCTGCCCATCTCCATCATCTACGTCGCTGTCTCTGTCTCTTGCCCATTTTCGTGCCATCTCTGCCGCCGTACCTCGAAACCCTAGAAATTTATCACCACTGTGAGGATTCGCAACGACTCCTTCGAGTTAGAGTAGAACAACCATAGTCGGAGCTGTAAACAAGCACTTCTTCTAAGTTTTGGTCCTAGGGGAGATCTCTGGCTTTAGCCGACTGGGCATCGATCTCTCGTAAGTTGATTTGGACTCCATCTTCTGGTGAAGATGAGGTATTTAAACAAAGATCCTTGTTGAGGCACTTATCAAAAGCAGACCCCCAATTCGAAAGATACCTCTTTGATTTCTTAAAGAACTTTCAACTCCAATCCCAACCAGCTCATTAGGATTTGAATCCCCAATTCAATTCGGTAATCTTTCTCTCTCAACAAATATATTCGATTTTTAACTTCTGATTATGTCTTTTAGTATAAACATATAAGCTAGTTGATTTTGGTTGTTTCTGAGATATAGTTGATTTGTATAGTTCTGATTTCAGATCTATTCATTTTTCTACGCCTCTATTATAGATGATTTTTGTTGTCTTTTGGATTCTTTCATATTTATCATGAAACAATTGTCTGGGCTTTTTTCTGTAATTGATGTGAATATGTGTTAGTTGTTTTGTAATGTTCTAATATGGTAAAATGATTTGGGTTTGGGTTTAAGTTTTGGCTATTGAACTATATACTTTTTGATATATATTTCAGGTGTTGAAGAATAAGATTGTCCTCTGGTCCAGAATTGAAGAAGATCTACGTCTCTGTTTTTTTTTAGTTGTTCTTGAACATATAGTGAATGGAGTTTTTTTTTTTTGTTTTTTTGAATAGAGAACAAAACTATACAAAATTTGAATAGATAGTGGCTTGTGTATTTCAATAACCAAGATTTGAATAGATAAAAAATCAAAAAATAGAATTTAGGAAAAAAAATTGAACAAATAATAAAATTGGGACAGATATTGATAGGTAAAAAATTGAATAGATTGGAGAGAGATAAGAGATTTGAACATATAAGAAAATAATAAAAATTTAAATAGATAGAACATATTTGTTTTAAACATATCTGTTCAAATATGGTGGAAAATTGAACAAATAGATATAACATTAGATAGATAGACAAAAAAATTGACAGATGAGGGAAATTTGAATTGAAAAGGTTAAAAAATTAAATAGATTGGATACAAATTTGAACAGATAGGGTAAAATTTTGAATAGATAGGAAACTTTTTGAACAGATAGAGAAAAATTTGAACAGATAGGAAAAAACTTGAACAGATAGTCAACGAAAAGTCAAGTAGATAAAAAAAAGTCGAGCTAAAATTGGAAACAAAATATCCTATAAAACTTTTCACCAAACTATAGACCTCTCACCAATAAAAAATATTCATTGGACCTAATGCCTTAGATCCTTTCTAAATTGGATTTATCACCATTTTTTTTCTCATTAATTAATGGGTGAATTTGAGAAAAATACAAAGATGGTATTTTAAGATGGTATTTTGGTCTCCATGTAAAAATAATTCTTTAGTTTTAATAGGTTTATAAGTTTTTAGAGCAAATTATGATGATAGTCCTTTTGTTTTCGTTCTTGTGTCATTTTGATCTTTATAATTTTAATTATCTTAATTTTGATTATGAATTTATGATTGTCTCAACTTGGTCTAATTGATTATAACTCGTACCATTTTTTTTTAATGAAAAATATGCACATAAATGTCATGTGTCATATTTTTAAGGGCAAAATTAAACTTACCAAATTCAGTGAGTTAATCTCAATCAATATAGTGATAATTTTTCGTAAAAAACATTAACGATATTATCAATTGGATCAAATTCACACAAAATTTTAAATTAAGGATCAAAATTAAATTAATTAAAAGTGGAGGGACCAAAATGACACAATGTAAAATGTAAGGACCACTGGTGTAATATGCCATGCTTTTACTACTTTCTATACAAAATGGGAGTAATTGTATTGATTTGATGCATTTCTTAACATATCTCTTACAACACATGTTAATAAAAACTATATATTATTTATTATTATCTTACATTATTAAAAACTCATTTCCTATTAAAAAATTCATAACATAATAAAATTTTAAATCTTGAATTAAAAATAAATTGATAATACAAGTGTATATTTTTAAAATTTTAATTGTTATATTTTATTTGTGCACAATTATTAATATATTTATAATATAATTATATGATGATATGATTTCAATTGATCTTAAATTAAATTGTAATGATTTGATTTCGATTGATCTTAACTTAAATTGTAATATTAATTCTAAAATTAAATTGTCCTTACTACATGACTATATTTTAAGAGCAGGTTTGGATTTTCTCAAGTTAGTCATCCAACTTGAGAGAACAGTTTGGGCTTGGTGGGCCCAATTTGGAGAATACTTCGGTAATCTAAATTGTTCACTTTTTAGGCTTGTTGAGTAGAATATTCATATAAAAATAAAAATAATTGGACATTGATAGCTATATATTTGAATCATATTTGTAGTGAAAAAAATGAATAGCTATTTTTCAAATTATATTTGTTGTCATATTTTTATAAGACAAATGCGATTCAAACATATATTTACTGATGTTTGTCATCTTCATTGTTGCATGAATTTTTGTATTCAACGAGTCCTAAAAAGTTAACCGTTCAGATCATAAAATCAGTCCGAAAACAAACCCATTGAACCCAATTGCTTTCTCAAATTAGATGCCAACTTTTTTTTTTTTTTGGTAAAAAAAAGTGCAAAAAAAGTAGAGAGGTGATATGAATCAAATAAACCAACAAGCCATTAAGCTGGCTTTTTTCCCCCTAATTGTCAAAATTGACCTTAAGCTTAATCAGAATACAACTAGTATTTATCAACTAATTGTTATATTTGTATGCCAACAAAAAATTCTCGTCAGTAATTTTTGCGCCCGAATTTTATGATATTCATATACTCTTCCAAGATTCATTCAAGAAAAAGAAAATCAGGGATGCCTTGACTTATAAATGTGTCCAACAAAACAGTGTTAGAAATTGAAACAATTCTCATATTCAAAACCAATTGTGACCAAATGTTATCCAGAAAACGGAAAAAAAAAGGGGCTAATTTACACATTAGAAGAGTAGTCTCCCCCTCCAATTCCAATCTCCTTCACAAAAGCCTTAAGATTCAAGTCAAAAGATCCACCTTCCTTCATAGCTTCCCTTGTCAACTCCTTCTATTTCTTTGCATTCCACCTCATTTCTTCTTCTCACTCCTCACCCTCTATCACCTTCTCTATACACCACTTGACCTCTACACTGTCAACTATTTCTTCTTCATTTGACTTTACTCTCACCCATGCCTCCACACCTCTATTATTATCTTCGCATTTGTTCCCGATCCGACCAACTCGGCACTTCCACCACTGAAACCTATAACAATCCCGATCTGTAATTAGCTAATGACCCATGATTAAGAATGCCCAATGAGTAATTAAGTTGAAATCATGTGTTAATTGTGCATTTCATGTGTTATTTGTAATTACATCTGTTTGATGTAGCAATATTTGTTAGAATTTTTGTTTCGGTATGCGAATTGAAGGCCTTATCGGCATCTGAACACGAAATTGACTACGTTTGTGTGTTATTTAGAATTTTTGGAATTTTCTGGTAAGTTTGATTAGATTTCGATTCAAAATCAAATAATTAGAATAGATTAATGAGAACTAATTACACTTAATTAGCCTAATGCTAATCAAGCCTATATAAGGCTAATGTGAGTGTTAGGAACATCTACACACACACACACTCCTTTATCATCTTTTGAAGAACAAAACGTAGATAGAGGGAGAGCAGGAGAGAATTTGAGATCAAGGAAGAGAAAAGGAAAAATTGGTGGAATTTGAAGACAATTTGGAGCTTTGAGTTAGAATTACACTTGAAATCAACCTTTAGGTAAGACTTATACTCCTAACTTTGTCTTTAAGATATCGAGAATATGAATTCAAGAGAGTTAGGTGGCTAAATACAAGAAATAAGCTAAGATTGAAGGATTTAAGTTCAATACATACATGCATGTATAATTCATGGCATTTGAGGTTGTTTTCCCAAAGAATTCTTGCATGCATGTCATAATCCTAGCTTTGTTTTGGAAATTCAGCATTTTCTATGTCATTTTGTCTTAGTTGATCATGTTTTCAAAGAAAAGAACTTGGATAATTACATACGTGTGCATTTCAATTACATACATGTGCATTTCATATGAAGAGGAGCATAGCTTTGATTTGGTTTTGAAGAATTGGCATACTTTGTGCCTTGATTTTTGTGAAACGATCTTCAATTCATGAAGTATAATGAGTCCCTACATGTTTCTCAAGTTTTGGGCCCAAAGGATTAAGTTTTGGTACTTTGGAATTCAGTTTTGAACTTATAACAGCAATTGGGAAATTCCAAAATTTGGTCGCTTCGCTCGAGTGACCAAAGCTTCACTCGAGCGTAAAATTCGAGTTTTGCAGACAATTGCACGGTGGCTCTAGCGACCGATTGTGCGCTCGAGTGAACATCCTTTTTCTCAATACTTGGCTCTAGAGATTGTCGAGCCACCGTTGAAATCAGGCATCCAATACTTTTACAAACTTTGCAGACCGCTGAAGCGACCAAAACTTTGCTCAAGCGAACTGCCTTGTTTTTCAAAATTTTGCATGTGTTTTCAAAGTGCATTAAATCCTCATTACATCTAAGGCATTCCTAGGCCATGATTAAGCTACAATAATGAGGATAAGAGTTAGAAACAGACATTAAGAAAGAAGAATAACAAGTGATCCATTCTACGTGTTTGTAGGTCACGTGTTAACACCCGCCTGGTCGATCTAGTTTGTGCAAGTGATCCATTCTACCTTTGGAGTTATTGGTGAGTAACGACTCTGTAAAGCTATGTTTGAACTTAAGCATTTTCTGAATAATATGATATGATCTGTTTTTTGGAATGCTATTTGTGAACCATGAATGAATGTCCAATTTTCTATACCGTAATATGGTATTCTATGTTTATGTGGCCCTTGCTCAGGGGTAACAATATTGCAGTCTATGTTCATGTGGCTATTGCATCCTCATTACATCTAAGGCATTCCTAGGCCATTAATTTTCTGTAATGTAATAGGCATTCTATGTTCATGTGGCCCTTACCTGGGGGTAACAATACCGCGGTTTATGTTCATGCATGTGGCCCTCACTCGGGGGTAATAATACCACGACCTATGTTCATGTGGCCCTTATCTGGGGGTAATAATACCATGGCTATATGTGCGCAGAGATCTCTGACAGTTTCAATCTTTAGAACTAACTGTTGACCTATATGGTCGTCGGTACTGACTATGGTCTTAATGATCACCTACTCTACACGTGGGTCTTTTGACCAATCTGATATGTTAGCTAATGAACGTACCATGTATGATTGTTTATGAAATTTGTATAAGCATGTGAATCTGAATCTGTTTCTAATTTGAAATCTGATTTTTGAATCTAATGGGACATCATTTATAAACCCTTTGCCTTGTTGTTATTCACTAGGCTCCAGCTCATTGTATTATTTATTTATGTTGGTGATCAGGTGCGGGACCAGGCTTATGCTGTTGCTTGGAGGTCTGTCTTGTCAAGCCAACTGATGTGCCTCCCAAGGAGGTTCCCAAGTGTTTCTGTGGTCAAGTCAAGTGCACATGATGTCTGTCTTTATCTTCTCTTTCTTTTGCTTAACAAGACTTTTGTTTAGTCTGTATATGAGGCTAAGTCCCTTTTTGTTTTGTTTGTAAGTGGGTGACGTAAGACAATGATATATATGTACTTATGACGTCACTATATAAATATATATGTGAATATAAGTTTTAAATTTTCTGTCTCATATACGTCTACACAGCTCTATGGACATTGTATTTTGATATTTGCTTCCGCTTGCCCCTTATTTTGTTAATATGACTTAGAGGCCTTTGGTAATCTTAGGATTATTGACCGGTTACGATGCACAACCTATAGGGGCGGGTTTGGGTCGTGACAGAACCCCAGAAGCCAAGCTGTCCAACGTCAAATTCTACTCACAATGCATTGCCAAACACCCCAAAGACGGGTGCTAAAGAATCTCTAGTTGAGAACACCAAGGCACTATCATCCCTTGTTGCTCGAGTTCTTCCATGCAACTTAGCGCATCTTCATCTTCTTTTTCTTTTTCTCCATCGTGAGTCTCTTTTGGTCTCATCACCCACAAGAATTGCAGATGAGTTTTCGATAAACCTTGCGTGATTTCCTCCTTTTGTTGCTTTGGTAGGACCATCATCGTTCCAAACGATATGTAAACCACCGATGATTGGGGCTTTGAGTTCAACCATTCAATATATTCTCTTGATTTTTGAAGGAGGTCGCCAGCAAATGAAGTGTCTGATGGGTCTTGTCCATCTAATAAAGCCGATGGAATCAAGGGTCCAATTTCGATCAAATTGTAGAGTGTTTACATGCGAATCCAACTCGAATTGTGCCTTGCAAAGGAGTTTGTGATCTTAATCCTTCCATGTTTGCCACTTCGTTGACTATGACAAGGGTTGACCTAGCAGGTCAGCTCATTGGGTCGAGAGGCAGCGCCCTCGAAGAAAAATGCAATCTAAGTTATTTGACCGCTCAAGCGGTCATTTGTTCGCTCGTGCGGTGAATGGCATCGTCTAATACTTTTGCAGAGCGTCCAAACTTCTAAGAGCATCTTATATGCGCTCGAGTAGTGAAGTCTTGGCTCGAGTAATGGGCACGCGTTTTAATGAGTTCACTCGAGTGGTGGAGTCTTGTTCTTTCCATCAATTTAATTCATGTGGGGGATTCTTAGAAAAATGAGTTTTGAACCCATGGTTTTTGACTAACCAAGATTAAGTGGGACACACACACCCATTTGGATGGATTCAAGTGGTGACGTGTTTGTTTTTGCATGGTGAACAAGAATATGAAATTGGTTGTTCAAAACTATTTTCGGGTGAATAGGAAATTGACGCCCATATGAGCCTCTTGGAAATGGTATTATTGTTGGGTTTTCTATAAACATGTGTATTGAGCTTGTCCCACATAGGAAAGTTAGGAGAAGTTTTTGTGTATATGATAGCTAAGTTTGGCACTTGGGTTTGGGCCCTAAGGACACCCAAGTTTTGTAAGGAGGAGAGTTACGGACAAAATGGGTTGGATCCAAAAAAATCAATACAAGCGAGCGCGCCACTGCTGTCTCCTCCCACCGAACCAGGCTGTGGCACGATTGCATGGTCTAGGTTGATCCACTGATATGTGTGTATCTTTTTGGGCCAAATTTATTTGAATTTGAATTCAAAATTTTTGTGCGAAATTTCAAAATTCAAAATTGAATTTCAAATTTTCCACAAACAACAGTGTCTCCTCTCTAGTTAGTCGCAACTTTTCCAGCTATTTCTAGTGTGGGTCACGTCTTTTCATTGCCTTTTTTTGGTAGTCCAAACAGGCATTTTTCTGTCTATAAAGTGGCAGTCCCTCTAGCCATTCCAATCATCGAAATCATTTCCTATTTTCATTTTTCTTCCTCCCTTCTGCTCTACTTCATACTCTGCATTTTGAGAGTTTTGGTTTTTCGGTGAGTGAGTACATACACCATTTGGTTCACTGGCAGTCTTCCCAAAGTGTTGCAATTAGACTGTGAACACCATTTCATCCTGGGAGATAGAAGTCTAGCGCTCCGAGGCACCATGTAAGGGACGAATCTCTCTTGAGAAAAAAGTGTTGAACACTCGACTTGATCTGTCTCCATTACTGCCTTTTGCAAATTGGCTCTAAGTTTCTGTTTTGTTTTTATAGATTTGTTTTCAAGTTTTTTTTTTTTTTGAAATAAAAATTCATTGACAATAAATCAGTTCTGTACATTTTGAATTTTGTTCTAGTTTGTTTTGCACGTTACACACACAGATTGTATACTGAGCTATGACAACAATTAAAGTATCAAAATGATCTCATGCAGCGCACTAGATCTTTGTTATAATAACTCTTCTGAGATCTCTCAGCCATCACCTTGTAAAAGCAACCTGTAAGTTCTTTCCCTTTTTCTCTTGTTTATTTTTTTATTGTTCTTGATTTCGCTTCCACAAACATTTAATTCATTGTTCTTTTCTTTTTTTGTGACCAGAAACTTGTTTAGAAACTTCTTTAGTGGGAAGTTGTAAGCTTCTACCTTTCTTTTAAAGAACTACAATCTGTATTTCAGAGGTGTATTGTATAATGCCATGAATTTATTTTTTTGTTTCATGCTAAATTAATCCAAGGAATTTGCTGATTGCATGACAGCTTGTCAAAGTAGCAAGTATATATTTTTCTTACAGGAGGTTATATCTCAGTTTCTTATGTATATTTCTTCAGTCTTTATTGATGGCGGCCAATTTTGTAGACTACATCTGGCCAAGGAAATTTTTTTTTCTTTTCATTTAAATTCCCGAAATGTTTTCCTTTCTTGTAAACTGACACAAAACTTCAGTGAAAAATGGATATTCAAGTGTTTTCACTGAAACTCATCGAAACACTACGAACCATTTTGAAATAATAAGTTGCTTCAACACCTATTATGAATATCTAACAAAAGCTATTTCTATTTGACTTTTTTTTTTATTAATATAAATTTTTAGAGTAGAGAAATCTAAAATTTATTAAGAATCTAGGAAAGTAGAAATGAGGATAAAAGATGGAGAAATGAATAAAAAACAGTACATGTTCAAGTCACTTATTTTCTTTTATTTTTTTATTACAGACATACCTTTTCTTATAAATACACTACAGGAAAAGATGGCTATTGCAACGCTTCTTTTATGGCATTTATGAAAAACGCCATTATAGATTATTTAAATACAACGTTTTTAAAAACGTTGTATCTGATCTCAGTAAAACGGCACCGTTTGGGTCAACTTGTTAACACCGTTCAATACTCCGTCCCTTTCAAAACGTCTCTCCCTCAGTCTCACTCTCAGTCTCCCTCTCAGTCTCACTTTCAAAACTCAGACTCTCTCTCGCTCAGAAACCCTTTCGATTTGAAGCTCAAAACCCCCCACTCTCATTGATTTGAAACGCTCACTCTCGCTCGATTTCAAACAATTTTTTTCGCTCGATTTCAAACACTCTCGATCGATTTCAGATCTGTCGATTTCAGAACCTGTCGCAGATTTGAAGGTCTCTAGATTTGCGCTTATCTTCCGATTTTGGTTCTCCTCTCTTTGGATTTTGTAAGTTTCGATTTTGGTCCTTTGGTTCTCCTCTCGTTTAGGCCCCCTCCTTCTTCTTTTTTTGAAGATCTGTAAGTTTGTTGCTGCTCTGTTTTGTTGCAAATCTCGCTCAATCGGTCTCTTTTTTTTGTTGCAGAACTCAGATCTGTAAGTTTTTATTATATATGCATTTGTTTTGTATGAACTCAGATCTCTGATTTTTCATTGTTTTGAGTTCATTGTTTTGGATTTGGTGGATGTATCTCACCTTTCTCTCACGCACACACATCAAGTTATTAATGTTTCTTTCTAATCTACTCAATCCTCTTTAAATTTGTTTTCGTTTACATTTCTCACAACAGAAATAATAGCAGTTTGATTTTTAATTTTTATTATTAGAGGGAGAAAAGACCTACATTAAGATAAAGGAAGACTACATATGTTATAATAGATAAAAATTCTTGAATCACAAGAATAATTTTCAATCCATAAGTAGTACCAAAATATGAGAATTGTTATAAGAATTGTGATACTCCTATTGAAGTTTCATCCGAATATTATTTGTAACCAGACAAGGGGAATATATATATATATATATATATTTTATTAATAATACTAAATTCAAGTATGACTCAAATTTAAATACTATATAAGTAATAAAAAACACACTCTTAAATGACAACAAGATTATAAATGTAGAAGCCTAAATGATGTAATATTCGCAAGGGCAAGCAGCTTAGATCACAGTAATTGTTTTGATGAATAGGTTATTTTTAACAGAATTGAACCAAATCTAACAGTGTTAGTAACAATATTGACTTGTCAATTTAAAAATGTTGACTTGTCCTAGGATTACTAAGATCATAATGAGAAATGAGCACATTAGTCAAATTGCTCCAATTGGTAGTTCATACTAATTATTTATTTTTATATTAATTAGCTCACTTTAGCACATTAGTATGATATTTTTGTTTGTATATGCAACTTATGAGATACAATTTTAAGCGGGCTGCCCATAAAAATTTACCTTTTAACTTCATAATTTTGAAGACTTGGTTAGTGAAGTTATTTTCTTACTTTGCCTTTGTCTGAAACTTTTATTGGTAGACTACATTTTCACTTCACCGATTCCCTTCTTAGTATTTACAAATTTAATTTTTATTCATAAACACATATATAATAATGTGACATAGATATTTTTACAATTATGTAGTAGTTGTTTTTAATTTCAAATGCCATTTAAAAAATTCATTACACCAACAAGCCGGAGTTCAAAACTAGCCTTTCTCACACCAACATAATGGTTTGTTTAATTTTTGTTATTTTGTCTTCAAAAAATTCATTACATTCTAAGTTCATTTAAATTTTCTCTCCCTCAAAGGGCTAACCCAGAGTTTTGTTCATCCAAAGGATGGCACCAGATTATTCTATCTTTATGCTGAAAAAAAACCCATGTAAAGATGATTATAACAGTATTTTTAAACTCTTAAGCTCTATTGATCTACAAGTCCTTGTAAGTACTGATCGCTAACTTAGCATGCTCCAGCAAAAGTGAAGAGTGTGATATACATAATAATAAGGTAGTAGAATGTCTTGAAGTACTTGAAACTGTATACTATACCTTAATAATGGGTGTATGCATTAATAATGTGTGTTTTTACTCATCAATACAATTCTTTTTCAGAGCATCTTGATATTCAAATGACAGACAGTTTGATGTGACAGACAGTTTGATGTAACAAAGAGAGTAAATTATTGAAATATTCTTCTAGCTATTTGAAGCCTACCTTTCCCTCCTTTAAGTCTTTAGAAATTCGTGGAAACTGGGTATGGGGAAAGGTTCCTCTTGTTATATGCTTATCAGTACCCCTCAGTGCTCAGCATCATCAAATTAGGTCTGTTTACTGCTTTGTTTGGTTCTAATCTTGTCAAAGATCTGGCTGACATGTTTACTTAGTTTAAGGTTTGGTGCACCCACTTGAAATTCAAAAGAAGGTGCGAAAGAGCTATCCCAAAGCTTG